ATTGACTTTTTGATAAGATAGGTTCCTAAGTTAAATTAATCTGATGAACGATCCTAATTCCTATTGTTACGACAAATAAACTGGGATTAGACAAAATGATTATTCGGACCGGTCGCCCGACTAGTCCACCGCCTAATAAAACCTTCACAAACACAATACGGGGGAGCCGAGCATATAGAGCTAATTTTTTGTTATATTTTTTATAAGCCGCTATTTTGCCCTCTTTTGTGCCCGTGTTGTTTACTAATGGGTTCTGTTGGGTTCGACTTAAGATAATAACTCGGGTTTTTCTCGCCCATGTGTCGTACAGAGTTTTTTGCCGCCGGAAATGCGAGAATGCTGTAGGATCGGATTAAAAATATACCTATATTTGTTGATGTTTCGAGTTAATCTGTAAACGGCGCGGGTATACGCTTTCACGCGAGCCATGCTTTTGTTTAATTAACTTTTGAGGCAAAAAAATATCGCTTTTCAAATTCACTTTCGTTTCATGCCGATGACGTGTTTGTTTTGTAAATTGTTTCCTTGATATTTATCAACTAATAAAGACAATTGTTCGAATACAAAACTTGGTTTTTACTCGTACATATATTGAATTAATACAATGATCTGCTAGATAGACACGTTAGATATAAAGAAAAACTGTGCTTTTGTTTTGTAAAGACATTGAGGTCATTCATCAAACTCAAATTATTCCACTTTATACCCTGTAAAAGTGAAAATTACCCATAATCTAACATTTTTTTTGTTTAATATCCATTTCTATTAGGACACTTATGAATTAATTAATTATACCAACATTTAAGGATTACTGTATAAACTTAGAAGTGTTGGTCAAATTGGTTGATAATGTATCAAGAATTGATTCTTTGTGATTTATTATAATTATTGGATCTTTTCACATAATTCCATTACAATTTAGATTTTTATAATCAAATACATTATTTCTACATATCTCTTAAGAGTAAATTCATTTAATTTCACAATAAATTGGTCAAAATTATTGATATATTAGCCGTTAATTAGGTATTATAAATATCGGATTTTTGAACCCTAATAAGTACTTACATATTTCAAACGTTAGCTTTGTTCATGAATCGAAAATTTAATTTAATTTTTTACAGTCGCTTTATGAAGCGGAACAAATATATTTCAGCTTTATTAACTCTATCATACACTTAAGACAAGGCCATAAGTCTTAAAGCATTAAATTTTCACTGGTGACACTTTCCATACGGATAAATTAAATTTCAAACATTCCATTTGATCGATTACAATGCGGGCCATTTAATTACCAACAGATTTCAACAGTCCCCCGCCCTAATTCATCAGGCAGAGCAATATCCAGCCATAATCGTTATCGCCGCTTAATCAATCACCGCTCTCGTTTAATGCCCCAATATCCTGCGGTATCCAACTAACAATTACATGTGAGGGTCCCGTTATCCCGTATCACCGGACTCCAGCTTCGACGCCAATAACATAAATTGTCACGGGCGGTCGGAAGTGCCCCTGTGCCCCCGCTCTCTCTCGCCCGCGTGCCACCCTCCCAGATTGCCGTCGAGAACAATCGATATTCAATCTCTTTGACGTTTTATACGCTCCCTACTTTCTTACTTTGTGTCGCCGTTTAGAACATGATTGGGATTGAAGCCGGCATTCCTCGGCGTTTTGATCGATCTCCGCCATTCTTCTTTGCTCATTTTCTTGTACAAATTTTTGCGACCACGACTATTTACGCGTTTACCCGCCCGCGAAGCGGAGCCGACGCCTTTTGTCTGTATTATTTCATTTCGATCCCATTCGAACAGGAAAAATTAAAACTTATTTACTTTGTTCCTTATTTGGCGTTTTCTGATCTCAGTATTAGTGTTTTTTCGTCTTCCCATATACTGTCATCGCGCTCTCGAAACGAGCTGCTCCTAACAATATTAATACAGAAGAAAATGTAATTTCCCGTCGCGAAATGTTTATTAAATCCCGCGTCAAAAGCTTTTACGCTTACGATTTCGCCGAGCTCATAATTACGACATAGTTGAACTAATTAGCGAATTCTGAGCGCTGAGCAGCAGCCAGCCATCGGTCGGAGGTAATTACGAATCCGACCCACGTCGCTTATCCCACCAAGTTATAATTGAAAGCTCGGTGGCCCAGAAGCCGAGCGGCGCTTGTATCGCGTTATTAGGTGCGCATACGTAATTTGTTTGTTAAAGACGGCACGCAGTTATATACCCGCTGTGAATAATTTAAATTCATCCCCTCGCTGGGCTGCCGGGAGGCAGGCGGCAGGCTCGTATCGATTGCGTGTTGTGTATCTGTGTTTGTGCTGTGCGGTCCGACCATCCGACCGCCACTTTTGGATGCTCCTGCTCCCCTGGTACCGGCATTAGAGCGGGATTCTCGGCTCGTTTGGTCGGCGCGCCGCAAAGCCTAGCTATCAACTTGACACGACTGGCTTTACCTTCATCTTTACAGCTGCGTTCGCAAATAAACTTTTTTTTCCACCGAAGTTTGTAAAGCAACCGTCGTCCCTTTGACGTTCGTTCACAAACGAAATTCTGCATGACTGAGTTTATAATGTATTCACAATATAATAGCAGTGTTATACCGTTGCTAATTATATTTTAACGATTGCATTCAGAGGCATTCAACAATTCGTTTGTTGGAATGGATAGCTTCGTTTGCCAATAACGGCGTTGTGCACGCAGAGTTAATTTATTCTGCTTAATGTGGTCTATATAGAGCGTATACAAATATTCGTACATTATTCATTTCATTTATGTTTACGATACGTGTCAATTGTTCCGTTAGTGATTCAGTTGTGTCAACTTTGATAACATTGTAGCAAACAAAGAGTGTGAGTATAGCCAAGAATAGAGACAAATTTTTCAGTTAGATTTGTTATGTTTGGATTGTTGCAATAAAGTTTAAATGTTGTTGCAACCCACGCGTCTATATGAAACATTTCCAAAGTCATAGTATATATTTTCTTTTTTAAAAATATTGAGGCATAGCCAAGAACATAGTTGTATTACGTCGACAGAAACACAGACTCGCCAACGTCTGTTATCCAATTTGATTTTAGCACGAAGTTAGAAACTTAGTGGTATTTAGCAAAACGATTTAGTTGCCAAGAGAAATCTATTAGAGAATTACCAGAGTTTTAGCGTCGTTAGGCGTAAAGATAGGATTAAAATTATTAGATTAAATATAAAACATATCTTTTCATTTATCAACAAATCAATCCATTGCCGTTTTTATGTTAATAGTTGATCTAATTGAACGGGAAGTCAAATGTGATACCTAATTAATTTTATCTTCCTCGAGTTTGTTGGTTGGTACATAAATTGTTTGACGTTAATGATTATAAATCGGTCGAGATAAGCGAAATGATCTTGCTATTAGAATTATTTCATTATGAGTAGTAATATCAAAATTCGAAACGAATTATTATATTTAGGACGGATAATGCTAAAAACCGTTTTCCGATTTATTCTAGAATTGATATTTCTATTGTATCTTAATTTTTAGTTATTCGCCCCTTTTTTTAAGCAACCTGCCCGCCACGACAAACACACTACAGCTTTCAATGGAAATAATACTACGTTCCTGTCTATCTTTCTTTGGTTGTATTCAATTTTGACATTTTGTTGACATTGCCGCCGTGTGTTGTGTACTTTATGGAAAAGTTAGTGGTCTGCAAACACTAGCCGGCCGGAATTTGATTGCGAGGTCGAATTCAAGCAATTACAACCTAAAATGGCAGACTCTTAACGTTTCGATTCTGAAATTTAATCATTATGAGTCTTTTATATGCTCTTTCTATTTCCACGCGCCTGTGACAGTACTCAGCAGGTAATATACTGCCACTACAAAATACTACACTACATAAAAATAGGGACTGGTGGTAGAAAGGTGAAAATTTAGGATTGTATGTATTTTTTAATGCCACATTATAAACAAATAAAAACATTGTCCAAAAAATAAGAATAAAATGATAGGGGTGGACAACCCTTATCACTAAGGGGTATGAAAAATAGATAGTAGTCGATTCTCAAACCTACTGAATATGCATATAAAATTTCATAAAAATTGGTCAAGCCGTTTCGGAGGAGTATAGTAACTAACATTGTGACACGAGAATTTTATATATAAGTTCTTTTTTTATTTTATTTATTTATTTATACTTTATTGTACAAATGAGTGTACAAGTGGCGGACTTAATGCCATTAGGCATTCTCTACCAGTCAACCGGATAATTATAGCAAAGATCTTATTAAGGTAGTGCAAAAGTAAATTCATCAATTTTTTTTATTATAATTAAAGTATATATCTTAATATATATAAATCTCGTGTCACAATGTTTGTCCTCAATGGACTCCTAAAGCACTGAACCGATTATAATAAAATTCGCACACCATGTGCAGTTCGATCCAACTTGAGAGATAGGATAGTTTAAATCTCAAATTATAGTCGCAATTTTAATTTATTGCAAATTATTACTTTTGGGCGGTACGAAGTTCGCCGAGTCAGCTAGTATATATATAGGTATGACACTTTCCGACCGTTTGTATGCAGATAGAATACTATATACATAATATTACCGTGTTATAACGTAGCGTTCTCATATGGATTCGGAGGAATGTTATCCCAGGAAATTGATGGAACACTACGTAACACACCCCTAAAAACTTTTTTTTGACAATATTTTTTTTGTTATATGGTATTAAAAATACATACAACCCTAAATTTTCACTCTACTACCACTTGCCCCTATTTTAATGGCGGTACGAAGTTCGCTGGGTCAGCTAGTAATACATAAATATTTAGGTAACTAAACTTTTAAAAACTCTTATCTGTCGGCGATAGGTCACCGTGAACATGACTGTAAGTGTGGTTGGTAACATCGTGACAGTATTATCTGATAAATACTTACACGAAAAAAAACATGACTGCGCAGGTCCGTCTGAGCAAATTGAGCTAATTGCTTATTTATGTAGTCACAAGAGCGGGTCCGTCCAGTTTATACCGTGCGGAACAATTAAAAAGCAGATGCAAATAGCGTTTCAAGAAAAACAAGGTGCGTTCGCCGGTCGGTAGTAAGCGGCTCCCGTTTTATTTCGGATCAGTTTCTGATGGATATATATATCTTTCAAAAAAAGCACATTATGTGGACGATTTATTATTAGTTACTTTCTAATTCAGTATAGGAAATGTATAACTAATAAAGAGAGCTTCTGTTCGTTATGTCGTCTGCGTGGGATCCAGAAATTAGCCCCTGAGGAACTTATTCTATGCTCTTTCCGAGAAAAATCGTATTTTTTTCGCGTTTATGATATTTTGAAATATTAATATTTGCAATAGCTTATAAAATATTTTATTCTATTACAGCATTAATAAATCCGGTATTAGAATAAACTCATAATGTATTGCCATACGTTTTGCAAATATTGACTCGGCCAATACGCAAAGCCAAACAAAAGATGTTTCCTACAAATTGTTTAACATTTTCTGATATAAAGTAGCTACAATTACTGCCTCATGGAAGTCTTTTTACACATGTACCAGCTTAACTACAGCTTATGCTTGCTTAGCTACACCTTATTTTGCATGGCTGAACTTATATATTATTGCTCGCATCACACTATTATAATTTATATTTCATTGTGAAAATTATTTTGATATTGTCTTTTTTATTGGTTTTCTCTCGAATGTTATATAGAATTATGGGCCCACACGCTCACATTGTTCTTTCGTTTCGAGTTTCAAGCGCAATTATCCTATTTTAGTCCCTCAAAATAAGGGTTAAGTTAATTTTATTTAGGTTTTAGGACTTTTTCTTCAAACAAGTAAAAGAATTAAGGACGCTTTGAAGAGATAATTACCTATTACATAATACTTTTTACACTTCTCAAAGCTGTAGGACAGTATACTCATTTTCTTCTAATAAAAATGTCTAAGAGATTTTAGATATAAAAATGTTGCAGTGAACGCTTACATCAAGTATAAAAAGTATTTATGTTTTTTAATGAAAAGGTTTCAAAATACTTTATCTTAATATGAGTCGGCACATAAATGATGGATAAACAGATGCTGTTAAGTGGATGCGGACAACGGATGTGAAAACAGCTGAGAAGCGAGATCGCCTCAGCCGCAGACAATACAAGAACAATAAAGAGATGAGTCACCAAACTACTTTGTTCCACGGAGCAACAGGCCACAGTAAATCTGTGTGCATCCTCCAAGACGAACACGCGTGCCTTAAAAGGAAGGAAGGTGGAATAAGGAAGATATAAAAGTCTAAAAAAGACATGTACTTTCTGCGCGCTAGGTTGTTAAGTGCAACAGCATTGACAATATTTTTAAACAACTAATAAAGTTAACTTAATTTATTAGTAGATGTCAAACTTATAATTTCTTATAGGTATGTATTTAAAGAGGGTTTTCAAGAAAACTAAGCAACTATGAGGAGCTCGATGGCGCAAGTGGTTAGCGCGTTCGGCTACGATCGTTGAATTTAAGCAACTTTCGCAGTGGTCGGTCATTGGATGGGTGACCAAAAATCTTCTATCTCGAGTTCCTCCGTGCTTCGGAAGGCACGTTAAGCCGTTGGTCCCGGCTGCATCTGCAGTCGTTAGCACCCGCCAATCCGCATTGGGCCCGCGTTGTGGTTCATGGCCCAATCTCCCTATTCCATCCATAATGAAGGCCTGTGCCCCAGCAGTGAGGACATTAATAGGCTGATGATGATAAGCAACTCTACAAGAGAGCATAATTCGTTATCAAAGCTAACTGTGGTGCTCATCTTTCATCTTGCCAGCCAGTCGAACCTTATTACGTATATTGCCCTTATTTGTTTTTAGTTACTGCAGTTTACAAACATACTACATTACTACACAGTTCTATGATAAACAACAATCTTAATTACACTACACTCACTGTACATGTCCTGATACAATCGCTCGAAGACTTTACTTGCAGCGTAATCGCCTTAGCAATCGTTGCGAAATCGCATTGAAACTTAACTGCATACGTGGAGCCGAGCACCCTTATATTATGTATTAGAAATTCTGGACACTTCTAGTACAATCGAGAGTTCTCAAGTAGCAAAAATAAGACAGCCACACAACTGTCATAAAAAATAAATGCACTTATTGAAAACAAGACTGAATGAGACTGCGACGCAACTTCCTGGATCAATCTATTTCCAGATTGCTCATGACAAAATTTTTTTGCTATTTTTTTTGATTTCGATGTCGCTGACTACAATGACTACAACCGTTGCAAGGCTAAGGATAAATGAGTTAGTGATGTTCCGAAGTTTTTTTTTAACAAGGAACTGTAGTGACGAAGCAGTGTGTTTTGCGTTATCGAGCATTGCAGCCCCAAGCTTACAAACGGTGTGGAATCCAATCGCTATATCATTTTCCAAGAGCGGTACCGAACGAAGCGGGGCACTGCGGCGAGAGAAGGTTAGAGTGAATAAAGTTTGCACCGCGTTAATTGCCAACGGCGAACGAGCGGCAGGCACTTCTTAATGAGACGGCTTCTTTAATGAAATACCGGCCAACATGCCGCTGTGGGCGGGTCCGGTTCTCTCACATCGTGCGACAATAAACACTCGTTGCTCGTACGCAAGCAAGCGTACGGTTATAACCAGCTCGCCAAATAATTACGTAGATCGCCGGATAGATAATTGAAATCTCGTGAATAATCATAATAGCGGCGGCGGGCATGGATGCGGCAACTGATTCCGAGCACGTCACATCGCGTGAGTGTCTGATTAAAGCACACACACACAAAAAAAGATATCGAAACATATGCTTCTCGGAAGTGGTGCGGTCGGTGCTTGACGCGATGCCGGTGATGCGTGAATCTGCAAAGGTTTCTGTACTAAAGTCTTGTTTGTTTTCTTGGCTTACGGAATTATAGACTTTATGAATGATCATGATAAGATACTAACAGATTTGCTCTATCTTCGTTGTCAGAAATTATATTGACCCTCGAATAAATGCTATTTTAAGATCGATACCCGACACAAACTAAAATTGATTACATTTTGTCAATTGTCTCACGTTTCAACTGATTTAAAATAACGTGATAATAACGGCTTAACGTGCTTTCCGAAGCACAGAGGAGCTCGAGATAGTAAATTTTTGGTCACCCATCCAATCGCCGATCGCTGTGAAAGTTGCTTAACTTCAACGATCGCAGTCGAACGCGCTCACCACTGATGCCATAGAGTCGTCACATTACCTTATTAAGTGTTCCGAGTAATCTCATAAAAAACAAGACTTACATAACATCAACATGTTAGCCTATTTTTAGAAGTAAATTATTTTTGCAAATTTGTACTCAAATATTTATTAAAATGTCAACATGCTTTTAAACGGCTTTGATTTTATAGTGTTAATATTTCTTCTACAATATCTGTAAATTACATATTATGCTTGCATAAACATCGTCAAAAGTTACATAATTGTCATCATCAGCCAACAACGGGCCATAAATTGGCCATAAATAAAGTTCAGCAAGAGGCTCGGGCCCAGTGTTGATTGGTAGGTTCGTGACTGCACTTAAAACCAGCAATCAAATATCTTAATTATATCGGCTTCAACAATAGGGATGATGGTGATCAAAAAGTATTGGACATGTATTTTTTCTTTATTCACATAATCAAAACATTACAGCCTTATATTGTTCTGAAACATAGCTTGACGTCTTGGCATAATTTTTACTAAGAAGTGACGTCACGAGTTCCTATCCCCAACCACGGTAATATTATATACCCCAACCTTAGACGCACTTTAACATTGTCATTCTTTGGATGATTGACAAAATAAAAAATAAGTGTCAATTATTTTTTGATCTAACTGACGGACTAAAATTTCGTTTCCTTTTTACCCCGAGATTTTCCTATTTGAAATGTTAGATTTCCTATTTGAGATTTTCCTATCTGAGTATATAAATAACTTTTTTGGGGAAATTACTATTTGAAATTGCCCTTACTGAGTTTCTTGCCAATTCTTCTCAGTACAAGGTCTCCTTTCGTAGATTTACGAACCGATGGCGTAGCTTCTAGACATTCATGAGTGCTTTGTAACAGCTGAATAATGATTATGACTACTTCCATAAGTGGCATTTATACATATTACCGGGAATTTGCCAGAAATATTAAACAAAAGATTCTCGTCAGAATATCAAAGTAAACGTAAGTCATATTTTTAGAAACTGGTATTGCATTAGCAGACAATTTATTTGTCGCATTGTTTTCTAACGACAACTTACGTTACTTACATTTCCGAACATGGCTCCATCAACAAACCTCTATCATAAATCAGTAAAAGCAATCACAAGAATTTATTGCGCAGAAAGAGAAATGCAATATATTTCTAAAAGTATGTAATAAATAATAATATATTATGATTTTTGATTAAAATTGCTTGTAATTGTTTTTATAATACTGTATATTGACCGCAGGCATTCAAGCAGAAAGAGGAAATTATTACAACAAATGATTCATTACTTTTCGTACAATTGTTGATACATACCTACTTATATATTATTCATACATTATACACATACCTTCACGCTATAGAAGGATTGACGACCTCCCTGGCCGAGTGGTTTGTACGCCGGGTTTCAAGATGTCGCCTACTCAGAGCTCCCGGGTTCGAATCCCATTGGGCAAACGTTAGTATGACGAATGTACAATGAGCATTTGTACCTTAGTATAAATGTATCGGTATATTTATTATATCCGTTGCCCTAGTATCCCATAGCATAGCCTTACGGTGCTTACTAAAAAAATTGGTATGTGTTAGAAATATTTATTTATTTTTTATATATATCAATGAGGTTGGCGCACCATAAAAGTTGCAGCTGGAGTTTAACATAAGTACTATGAACTGGCCTGTTTTGAAGACCAATAAGATTTATGAGCTAATGAAGTTGATAAATCGGTCTTTCCTTATCTGAACTCTTTTTGTACTGACCTCTTAACCAATTAGTTAAATGGGAATATTTAAATTGTTAACTAATTCAAAGAAAGTTCACTCAGGAGTCGTAAATTTTATATTATCTTCCGGTCGCACGCCACATTAACCAAACCACAAACGAGCTTCTTTTTTCTTTTTCAGTAGACAGTGAAAATATTTTAGTAAATTTATTTTTGAAATCAATTTATGTTTCTCATTATGTAATCGCGTATGCAGTATTATTATCTTGAGGTTTAGATTAAGCTTGTGTTATAAGAACAATCACTTTTTTTTATAGCCGCATTCGTGGATTTCTTTATGCCTAAAGGTTGACTGGCAGAGAATGCTTTTAGCGTTAATACCGCTTTTTGTAAATTTTTGTAATTGAGGCAATAAAGTTGAAATAAATAAACAATGTAGTGAGTAGCTGTTTATTAATTAAATAGTTCCATTACTGTCATTGATTCTGTGCCTTACTTTTTTCACGCTAAACTGTGCTTAGATTGTAGGATACTCTAAAATATTAATATTATCAGTGGATAAGCATGTAAGATACGTGGATTCTAAAAAACAATACAAAAAGAAAATCTAAAAACGCTTAGCTAATTAAGAAACTTCTTCAAACTCTTAAGATTTTATCTCATTTTATTATGTTGAAAGTCGCATTTTTATTATCATCCAACTGAATTACCGTTAAAAAGGCAGTTTATAGGTGGATATAAAGGAAATAATGTATACATATAAAAAAAAATATGATTTTGCGTAATTAATTTATCTTGATAAGTGTTGGTAATTACGTGGCACTTAACCAAGTTCTTAATATACGAAAAATCTAGCCCCTGACTAAAATTGCTTTACGGATATTTATTATTATACGGATATGTATTGCGTATTGCTACGAAAAAAGACTGGCAATTTATCAAATTCAAAACGTTCACCAATTCGAGACCATGGACATAGAATTTCGCTGAACTTGTTCCATTAACAGTCAGTACCAAAACCAACATTAAGCAAAAAAACTTAAAAAGAAAGGAACGAGTCGTCTGAAAACTTTTCCCATTTTAAGCGTGTATTTTACCGGTCTTCGTTTTCCCCTCGTATCACAAGTACGTGCGCACGTTCACAGTTCCATATAAAGACGCCCATTATGGCGATTCTCCATTGGTCGCTGCCGTTTTGGTATCAAAACCGGTCTGCGGGGATAATTTATAAATTAAACACTTAATTACATCTGGTTGGTCATTTACGCCGGAGGCGAGCTCTATAAAATAAAGTAAAATAAAAAGTTAATACGGCATCGTTGCGTCGATAATTATACA